GGTATTGCTTTATTCTTTAAAATGAGTCCTCGCGAGTTTTTCTATGTCCATTATAGGCGGAGCTAGAAATCTTTAAATTTTAAGTAATTTTAGTATATTATAGAGACTAACTTATGCGCACAACTATATTTCGTTTTATTACGACGCTAAATAAGTCAATTATCGTCAGAATCTGAATTATCTGAATGGAATCTGTCAGCATCACCCGGTAATACTTACTAAAACATTCCATTACCTGTAGCTCTTAAAAAAAAAGTCAAATCAAACAACACATTTTCTTACCTCACGCGTAGTAAGCAACGGCACGAGGAAAAACGTTGAGTTGTCCCTCTTGACATCTCGTAATAAGAACTTCACTCTCAAGAAAGGCTACACCATGCGCATACGCGAGCAGGTCTTATCTGGTTAAAAACCCTACCCGAAAAAAGTATTAAAAAAAAGGAAATAAACGAAGAAGAATACGCTAATTTCACGGAAGCATGAAGCAAACAATTTCGCATTCTTAATCTGTCAGCGCGAAGTCTTATCGCTTTCTGTCTCGCGCAGCAGTCAAGCATGAGTCGTTCTGCGCCCGACGCAGTACGCGACGCTGATATTACAGGCTAGGAGCCTTTTATTAGGTGATCCTAGAAGACCGACGTATTCCCGTAATTTTAAACACAGAAAATTAGTCGATCGTGTTTATAAAAGAAAATGTGTTGCATACGTTTGTAATGGATATCGATTGCTTATCATACGTTTGTAATGGATATCGATTGCTTATCATACGTTTGTGCTTCAAGTTAGTTGCAAGAGCCAGTGCATCAATGCGTATCTAAATTCTTGCGATCGGTAATTAATAATCCGACAGCTTTCTGAGTAACAGGTGAGCCTATGCCCGTGGAAAATTGAATCCGCCTAGTGTAAAATTACAGACTGGAAAATCGCGTGACCGTGGGCTGTAAAAATATTCCGCACACGGAATAATCACACAAGCAGCGAACATCGAATAATTGGAACCGAGCCGCATTCGTTCTCTCCAAACAGCGTCACTCGACAGAAAAAAAAGCAAGATAGAGGCTTTAATACCCGTCAAGTTGAATTTTGAGCGAGCGCGTAACGTTGACGTGTGTGCGAGCAGAGGAGCTAACGTATAACGAAGGTCCGAGTTACTGTCTTGACATGCGACGTCAAAGAGTCGACACACAATTGGCTCCCTCGCCTCGCGCTAGCCACACGTGGATAAGGCAGTATATCAGTCGGCCGCCGACCCGCCGGCTGCGGACAGCATCACACCTATATGTACACACTTCTCCTTTTGCATGTGTGTGTCTACGTTCGACCGCCGTACTGGCCTATGGGCATGCCAGCCAAATTATTTGACAGCTTAATTTGACCTTAAAACCGCTGCGTTGATATAATATTGTTCCTGCGTATTTGCTTATTGAAATGAATTAGATTTTACATTAGAATTCTTCGTCGAAGCGTTCGGTTAGCCTCTCAACAGTCGTTATGATTTTTTAACCGAACGGATTTCTCTTCGCACAATCTCCCAATCCTGCCAGTAAATAATTTACCCATCAGCGACACAACGCGACTATTAATTTCAAACGCTCGCGCTAAGAAAAGAGTCGAAGCCACAAAGGCGCATTCAACTAAATGAAAAATAAAATAGAAAAAAAAACAGTTCCGGGAAAAACGATTAATCAGCGACAAAGGGACACACGCTATCTCGTGCCTAAAAGCGTAGCTGACATCTCGAGAGCGAGAGAGAATGCTAAGAAGACGCCTCTCGAGAAAAGACTGATGTACGTATACGGCTCTGGCATGAGTTCCTGTGCGCAAGAAAACGAACGTCGATAGACGCAGCCCCGAGGAGAATAGACAGTAATGGCCGTGTCGCAAGTACGGCTGTCTCGATTTTTTTTCTCTTCCCCGTAGCTGTCGATGCTTTGTACTCGTGGTAGAGCCACGGAGGTCATCGATAAAATTGCAATTTATCTAATTTTCACCACGGCGATTGGAAGAGAAATTTTTATCTTCAATGAAGGAAATTTAATTGCAATTGCGGATGAGCGCAGGAGAGACGCACTTTTTTTTTTAAATTATTACGAACATACAAAAAATCATAAAATAAAAAAAAAGCACTGTGAGACATGGAAGAAAAGTGTCAGTTCGGAGACAGACGTCTTGAGGATCTAGCAGTGGCTTTTAGAGCTTTTTCGTCGATGTGCATCGCATGCGAATAGAACAAGTACATTCGGGGTTCCTTCTTTTTGGCGTGTATGTGGAGATGCAAGCGAAGTGCCTTGGTATAAAGCTGGATACTGATTTTTCGAGTGCCTGTTACATATATATATATATATATATATATATATATATATATTCGAGTGAACAATGGCATCAATAATTCTATACGGCAAGAATGCTCAATGTCTGACTATACTTTGAATTGTCTACTGGAAGCTTATAATGCAGTTTGAAAAATCAGTGACGATTCTGTTCATTTTCACGACTTTGTACATTTTTAAAAGAAAACGTAAGTTTTTAAGCGCATTAAATAGCTTCAGAATTCGAAAATTTTTTGAAGCAGCGACTATGACTTGCAGGGAAGATCGAGGTGTTGAATGAATTATTAATTGTCTTTCAAGTTTGCCAATCTCTTTTGCCGCGTGTTTTGCGATTGGCGCGTTGTTGAAAAAAAAATTCATTGATCCTTCACTCCGTATTTATTACAGTGTGAATCTAATATTACGATAAGGTAACGAAAGTCAATGATTGCCTTGCTAATGCAGCGACGCCGCGAAAGTTAATGGCACGAGCGATGTCTAAGTTTTGGGTAAATTTCGTTATATCGTGTAGACGAGCGCGTAAACTGCACACTTCAACGAGTAGATTACAAAGTAAAGTTTGTCTCGTTAACGTCTCTCACTCAATTCAAAATTTCGTTGTACAACGAAACTGTTTTCATCCACATTTAATCAAACAGCATTATACTTTCATCGCTCGTTTCATCAAAAGAGCAAATCCATCGTCGTGTTTCGAAGATTAAGTCTGAGCTCGATAAGCTGCCCGTGTACACCCTACTATGAACCTAATATTTTCCAATCAAATTTTTTTTTCAATATACTTGCTTACTTCTATTTAAAACATTGATTAATTAATTTATCATTTAAATAATTTTCACTTAATTTGAATGAAAAGAGAAAGAAAATCTCACTTAATCTGTTTAAAAACATTAACGAGCCAGAACAGTGTTTTTATCTCACGCTTTAATTAACAGCTGCTTTTGAAGCAGTACTAAACGTTGGCCATATCTCTATTTCCCAAAGGGATTGAACTTACTTTTTTAATTTGCCATTTGTACGTGAATTAAAGGCGCTCGTGCTAATAAATTAATTTATCTTGTATCTGAGCGCGGAAGGGACGCGACCGCCAGCAGGTCGATTAAGTCGCTCAACGTAAACTTAGCTGATGGTAGAGGAAAGATAAAGGCGGAGATTATTGTCTCGGACAAATAGGGCGTGTTGACTGAGTGCGCGTATATGCGGAGAAAGTTAAAACTAAGGCGGTAGCCTTTTCTATGTGGAATGGCACGCGTACATAGTAAATATTCATTGGAATGTGAAAAATATCGATTGAAACTCTTTAGCGTGGATTCGCGTTCAATCGTGGTCTCCAATAAATCCCCCGATACTCGCAGTGAAAAATCAAGAATACGAAAAACTCCATCGGCTTGCGTGGAAGAAGACATCACGTAGAATAGATATTCCAGGGATAGAATCTTGGCGACGACGACGCGTTCGCGGCTTGTTTCCCTTTTGCTCGGCTACAGCTCTCGTAAATCCGATTTGAATTTGTAATGCCATGGCGCTTGTTGTATATTCTGTCTCTTCCCACACGAGAGAGGGAGAGAGAGAGCGAGAGAGCGTTGGTCACGTTCACTGCATAAAGCACAGTTTCACACGGGGAAGACCCCGTTAGCCGACGATCACTCGGAAGCTTGAAATAGTGGCCAACACGAGCCTAGACAAAGGGATTGAACATAGCGAAAAGAGAATGGAGATAAGGTTGGTTATGATTCTGGAGGGGGTGGGGCTCATACTTTCTTTGTGTATCTACTGGATAAATAATACTTACGCGTGATGTTTTGGCTTAAATTAACTTTCACTCGCTTGATTGATAATAAAATAAATCACGTTGGATTGATATTAAAGTAGGGTTACTAAAGAGAAATGGGCAATTTATTTTTGAGTGTGCAGTGAAAAAGAACTACTTAACAGATTGTTTTGAAATTTTTTAACCTCTTTTATTAATATTTTTGAGTTACCTGAGTTTTGAAGTGACAACCGCTTTAACAGACTTTTTTTTGCAGTACATCGAATCGTTATCGCCTAGCAGTTAAAATTTTGATGAGCTTTTAGAACTATAAAGAGTACGCTGTTATCCTCAATACGTTAACAAATAGAGTTTATAAAGGCATTTGATAAGCTACAAAAACTTTTTTAATTTTGTTATCGTTGACGAGTTGAACCAATAACATAATGGTCGCTGCTCAAGGCTCTCGACAACGACGCAAACATTTGATCGTCAGTCCTTGAAGTGACGATATTTGATTAAGGTTGAACAAACATTTTTGAATCGAAACGACTAAGAGCAAAGGAAAGAGTCACAAGGAATAAAAGAACGGAAAAATCTGAGATAGACGACGGAATCGACTCGCTCGATTGGATTTGGTCATTTTTATAAGGTGGGACGAAGAGCTCGCGCGCGATGATCTACTCGTCGCGTCGGAGCTTTATCGCCTTGGTCTGAGCTTCCATCGACACTGAGTGAGATCGATTGCTCCTACTAGCTGTTCACCTATTTCTTTTGCCTTAAGGCTATCCACGCGCTGTGGCATTCCCTTAAAATCCTTTCAAAATTGTCGCGGGATTAGAAAGAAGCTTGAACATTTTCTTTTCCTGAGTTAGATCGAATTGACTTAAGTGGTGTATAACTTTGAAAGGAATCAAACTCACCAGTCATTCCCAGTTTTCGTCATATTTTGTCTTTTACGGCCAGTTTGATGAGGTTTTGGTTCTGCCACCATGTTGACATCTACAAAAAAAAGAATAAATTGATGATCAGTATCAAATGACAGTTTGCACGAATGTTCGGAATTCTTTTATTACGTTTAGTAAAGTCTCGCAAATACTCGAAGTCCAAGCCAAAAAAGTGTGGAAATGATCAACTAGAAAATGAGAGAAAGAGAGAGAGAGAGAGAAGCTTGGAAGAGGAGCCGCGTAATTGTCGAGGTGTATTTCTTTAATTCGCAAAGGCTAAGGCCGGAGGCGCTAGCTGTAAAATCTGCCAGGCAAAGTTTGACTGAAACGAGCTGTTATCATCTCTCTTTCGCTGTGTGTGTTTTTTTAACGCGTTTACCTTTGTGCTTCGTTAAGAGTATCAACTCAGAAACGCTTGATCTTCTGAACGTTTTTTAAAAGACCTCGGAACGAGCGGAAATCCAATCAACTTGTTTGAGAAACGTATGTTTTTTTCGTTTTTTCATTCGCGCCGCGTTTAGCGAAATTTGTCAAAGTGATAATGATATTCTTTGGAGGGGAAATGCTATAATTTTTTAGAAAACTTATCCCGATGAATACGTGTCGTCGGATGAATTTGCATATTCTTTGGGAAGGAAAGGGATTATGCGTACTCCTCGGCGCCAAATCACAAAAGGGCAGTCGTGAATTCCAACTCATGCATTTTATAAGACTTATCATTACTCTCCTGAGCCACGAGCTATTCATTTTGAGTTTTCATGCAGATTACTCATAAGATATCCGCGCGCTCGGTGGTATTTTCGTTTCTCCGAGCGAGTTCACTCTCGAAAGTACGTAATGATCGAAATTACTCATCTAACTTGCCGGAAATACAAAAGAAACGGTTTACTTTCGTCGCAAGATATTGTTTGTAAAAGAATCGATTCTCTGCTTCGTATATTGTCCTGACAAAAGTATCCGCAAAAAAAAACATGTACAACAATGAATTTGAAATTGAAATTTCGATCCAAGTCGCTATATTGCAAAATTTATAAAGTCTGACTCCACTTTAGAAATGAATGAGCACACAAACGCGTGTCGCAAATTGTAATTGTCAGTCTAGCAGGTTTTTAAGTACAGACGACTCTTTGTACACGGAAAATTTTATTCATCCAGCGCGCAATGACACAATGTTGAATCTCGTGACGGGATTTCCAATGTTCGCGACGCGATTGCAAACATCGTAATCGTTGCAACTGCAATCGAATAATTCATCGGAGCAACAAATGTAATGTCGATGCCGAAGCACGAACGACATCGTAAAAAAAGAAAAGGTCCCCTGGGCCCCGCCTTATGTCCGCAACGTAAACATAGGGTTTGTACGCCATGCAGAGCACGCGAAAAAGTACCATCGAGATTTGCCAAGCCGAGAGGGACGAGATACCGCTGGGTAAATCTCGGCGACGCGCGAGGTCGCGAATTTATTTTTGGCGCGTGTGCACTACACCGTGCCATCGTTTACGGCTTTATCTTTGATCGCGCTCGCCTCAGTCCCCACCACTTTTCCGCGTATTTCACTTACTTCATGGTCCGTATGGACGCGCCGCAGCTCTCTCCCACAGGGTTTATGGAAGCTTGCGAGTTCTCACATCGACAGTTTATACGTATACCTCTGATCGAAGATTGCTTTCTGGCGATGAGAGCGTTTTTTTACTATTACTACAACTAATAAGGACTCTTTGAAATCGTTCTCGAAATGTGGTGTCATGTCAATGAATGCCGATAATTGCAAACAGTGAGAAACCAAGAAGATTCTTAAATAACAATAAATCGTCAAATTATGAAACCACATTTCTCATTTTAAAAAATAATATCGAAGTCAAGAAATTTATTATCGAAGTATAAATAGTTTCGCTAATATTACAGGAGGATTTCCATTCAAAATAAGACACGTTTATTCTGCTGTTTCCTCGATCAAGAATATCGATGTTCATAATGTAACGGAAATTGAAATTTGTTTGTAATAGTAAAAATATTAATTGTAATTCTCATATTGCAACTCTTTCCTTGAATGTAATTCAACCAACAAGTGAAATTCATTAAAAGCGTCGAGTCCAACTTAACCGAGCAAAGAAAAGAATCAAACAACAGAGATTGTCTGTGGTAGCAAGAGAAGCACGACCGAGAGAAAACGAACTGATCAACCTTCCAACCCGTTAAATACAAATGAATATATAGAAAAATATCGATAAGATGCAACTAAGTAAAGTCTCATCGACGGGTTTTACTTTTTACTGCATTAACATGATTAATCCACGTCGTAAGAAACGGGCGACTACCCATACTCCTTAGGTATTCAGACAGTGCAAGCTCTAGCTTCTATACCCCTCAAGAGAGAGAGAGAGAGAGTCGCCTTCGTCCTCCATTAATTACATTTCCGAGTGTTTAAACACTCGAAAGTTCTTCGGTACAATAGACATACGCCGAAAAAAAGGAAAATAAGAATCGGACGAAAAATATGTCTAACTGCTTTAATTGCTGTTTACATTTCTTTGTGCGGTGTGATCTCTTTCGGCACGAGCTTCGCAAAGGAATAAAATCTCGTTACAGAATATTTTCTTGCGAGCTGAATACCAAGTACTCGAAAGGGAGAGACTGCATTAACGAGTTAATCGTTAATTCGGCAAGCTTCTCTTCTTTCTTTCGTGCACTCTCCAGTGGGAGCTTTCCAAATTGGCCGAATCGTCGAATGAATGAAAAGGATATATCTATATACTGTTGCCTCTCCCTTTTTTTTCATATAACGATGGCCGAGGTAGGAGAATGTTTGGCTTGGGTATAATAAGAAGACACGGGAGAATTCGCTTCATTTTTTCCTCATCTGCGTTCGTCCCCCTGAAGCTTTAAATGAGAATTAGTCGCCGAGATGTATAAGACTCGAGTGATGAAAGACCTTTGCGGCTAATTCAACACTGCTTCTTCTCTTCTTTAATTAATGCTTCAAGTCCTTACCCTCTGTGCCCTGTCCGCCAGATGAATCGAATTTTTTATAATCAGCGACATTTTCATTGCACTTGTCGTTCGTGGACCTTCTTCCTACCTTTCGCCGGCCCGCCCAATTGACGAATGATTACATTAATGAGACGAGTAAGCTCGTTTACGGCTTATTGAAATAATGATACTCTCGCCAGTGAAAGGAAACGAGTTGAAATGCGGTTCCCCTTGAAAATGAAAAAAATTTCCTTTTTCGTTCTACTCGCAGTGGAAATTCATACTCAATGGCTCATTTCCGACTATTCAAAGCTACATGAGCAATTTTCCTTTAGATTCTTTGCCCTTGTTACTGATATTCTTGAACATTTTTTAAATTTCATAGTGACTTCTCCAAGTTCGTAATTCCCCCTCCCCCCATCTTCAGCTATTTGCCATTAAAAAAAATATTAATGAAAAGGCAGTATTCAAGCTGCGAAGTTGAACAACAAAAAAGCGATCGAGCCACACACTCAAGAATATCTACACATTGTCAAGTGTAGATCAAGAGATGGGTAGGCTCAACCATTGTTCGGTCGTCCTTCCATACAAGTACAATCGCTTGGCAGTTTTGTCGCCTGATAACAGGCTGGACGATAAAAAAAACCGGCTCTTGTTGCCGAACGAAAATGCACGCGCACCTGTGATATTTATTTTTCGTTGACAGATTTATTAAAGAAGTGCACGGGCTGAGGGGGGAGGAAGATCGGCGGCTATTGTACGAGAGCAACACGTTTGAGCAGACTTTTTGTTCACTATTGGAAGAAGAGGTAACGAGAGTATCTCGGTTTATTGGCAACGGTAAGTCTCCCACCGCGCAAAAAGAAGCATTCAAGGATGTTTTTAAATTGACTCGTCTAACGATGCCATGTATAATACGAACACGCAAAACTAACAAACATTATAATAACAGAGAGAGAGGGAGAGAGAGATGAAAAAATAACAGGAAAACTCCCTAACGAGACAGAGACGTCGATGATAGTAACTGCAATCCACGCAGATGCGCTGCCGGTGGTGGTGGCGGCGGTACAGCGAGTCGAATTTCCACGGGGAGATATCAGTTTCCTCATTAAAGCTGTTTGCACGTCGACCGACAATTATTGCCGAAACTTGCGGCTGCGGCGACAATTAATGACGATGCAAGTCAAAGTTGACGCGCCAACGCGCTCGCGAGAGTGTGTTTCGCTATGTTTGGCTTAATTAGCAGACTGGCTCTCTTCTCCCTTTGGTATATAGGATGCTACGTGGCATTATCTTACATTTCGCGCGACGGTTGTTATAAATTATATATATATACACGCTTGTTACGTGCATTGGTGAACTTTGCACTTTCGTTTATTCGGGAGAAGACGAAACACCGTGAAATATGAGCAACTTTCATCTTGGATCGCTGCGAAAAATCGTTAATTTTCCTTAACGCCGAACGCAAACTCGGCCCTCATTAGATCGACGAGTCGGCCCTTCGCCCGAATTTATTTCAACATTTAATCGTAATATTTCGAAAAGTCGTTTCTTATACTTTGAAACGTGCCATCACACAGATTAAACCGATTTCCAAAACTAGAAAATCATTTTAAAGGTAAGTTCGCGATAACGATCCTAATTTTCAACGAGAATGGAATTATGAGTGTAAAATTTGAAATAGTGTCACATAATCATAATTTAGATTTTCATGAATGTTTGACGATAATCAAAAACTTACAATGGATAGATGTGACTAATTTGAATCTTTATATTCTCAATAATCGAATTATGCCGTTCGAATGAGTCATTCATCTTCATATTTGAGAAAACTAGTATGTCTTAAGGCTTAAGTGATGGAGCGTTCAACTGGAGACATTGCGGAATTCTCACAATCGCAGTTTCAAATGTTGTAAAACACACACTCCGGCCAATCGTTTGCGCATGTGACAATTTAAAAAAAATGATATCAACGAGCGCCAAAAAATTAAAGGCAACGTACAGAGGAAAAGAAAAAAAAATAAAGGGACATCAGCGGAATAAAAAGTTGAAAGCAGCGTCGGATTGCCAATCGAACGTTTGCTT